AATAAATTCAGTTCACGCTCATACATGAATTGACAAAGTTGCAGGCTCATGTACAGTCACGGATACTGGTTTTATTTGTCTATGAATGCATACGTGAACACACACCCTTTCAGCTGTGCTTGCAGTGTGAGTGTACTCTGGGGTAGGTAGGATCCAATTTGATATGACCTTGAGAGCAGAGAGAGGTCTGGTGGAAGAGAGGGATGGAGTGTGAGGAATGAAGTGATGGCTTCAGTCAGATGCCTGTTGCAAATACTTGTGAGAAATGAGATGACCTTGAACTGACTGAGATAAATAATAGAACAAGCCACAGCAGTGTGACACAGTGACATCTGTACACGTAAAACGGGCATGCATCAAGTGTTGAAGTTAATCTAACCTACGTGTTCATGCAGCATAGTACGGTGGAATAAAGCAACAAATCACAGTCAGTTTTATTAGACGGCTCCAGATTTAGAGATATGCTAGATATCGGCACAGAATTTAAAAAGTAATCTTTTAAGTTCAACGTGAATTTGCTTCAATCATAACAACAAGCGTAAATGCACAGCAGTTAAACACAAAATGAACACTGTCAAAAACCCATTCTGACACAAAAAAAAAAAAAAAAAGTTTGTTAAGATGATAAATTCAATAATTTGTTCCCCCCATTTGAATTCATCCAGTTTAAGAAAAAAAAATAAACAAGAGTGCCAAGAAACAATCACCATCTATAGCCTTTACGTTTCTTTCATTAAAAGGAAAATTAAAAACAACATGTTTCATATTCTCTACAAGCAGAGGTGAATTTTCTGGTGCAAATTAGCAAACAGAAAGGCGCGCTTATCATTGAAGACGTTTATTACAAGCAAATCACAGATGTGCATTAACAAACAGTTCTCAGCTTCTGTTTGTTCGTCTTGAGTACGCTCTTAAAAACATCAGACAGATCCCAGATGTGAATGTGTGCAGCACTGAGATCAGCAGATAAGTGGGTAATGTCGACACGCTGCAAATACAATCTGCATGTGTCATCTGTAAATGCATCCCTCAATTAAATAGGAAAAAAATCTTAGACTTCATATGGGGAAGCCAGCTGCTAAACTGGAAGTATTGAAGCCTTGGACTACAATACCTTTTAGTCATTATGAGATGACCCTTTTCTTAGAGTTCATGTGCCCAACATGTGAACATGAACAAAATCTACCCATCCCTGCATTAATACTGATCAACCAGATACTTCAAAGTTGATACTTTGGCTAGTTAAGACATGCTTTGGTTGATCAGTATCAGTTATACAGAGCCTCAAAAAGTTTAATTGTTTAGTGGACTCCACCAGCTTTGATTTGTATAGTAATTGTCCACAACTTGTTGCAGTGAGGCATGCAATATAAAAAGTTAACGAGCAGTGAAAAAAGTCTTCCATGTGGAACCATTTCAATTTACAAAATGAAAGCAGACCAACATGCACTGGTGATCTTTGAGACGCAAGAGAAACACTAGAAAATTTGTAAAGTCTCTTCTTTGTTGTCAATATTTTGTGCTCAAATGGACACTTGCACTTTTGCTTTTTATTTTGTTAGTAAGAGAGTCATTTGGGTATTTTAAGGTAAATCCTCTATAACCTGCATCAAGACTTCTCTAGATGCTTACTGAGAATGAGCGCAGGAAAGCGGTAATTGGGAGGGTAATTCGACCAACAGTGTCTGGAACTCCACATAAACATGTTGCTGTTGGCCTGCAAACGCACCGTGCAGTTTTTGCTTGGCTCACAGTTCAACATATTTTTAACAGCCGAGCAATAATTTTCTTACCTGTTCTTCCCACACTCTGTCCACCAGTAGCATGATCTCTCTATTCTCATAGCATTCTACTCCCACACTTTTTCATTGCCTCTCTCACCATCGCTCTTGCCTGACATGTACATATTTACTAAATATTGCAGCAAACCTGCCAACTCCTCATATTTACTATCATGACAAAAGAAAAAAAAAAAGACAGTCGCGCGCACACACACACACACACACACACGAATCAGAGCAGACAGAGGGAATGGCGGGTGATATGATGCAGGAGCTATCGATCAGGCCCTTCGTAACCCATTTTCTGCCTTCTCGGTGGTAGAAGAACCAGTACGTGTCAGTGCGTGTATGTGTGAAATGAATTTATCAAGATGCTCCGTGTATGCATTCTATGCGAGCGCGAGAATACTGGGATCAAACTGACAGAGCGGAGAGAAAAAATAAATAAACTGAGCTTGTTTTTCTGCATTCTAGGTAATCCGAGAAGTAAATCAGGTTCCATCAATCATTTCTACAACATATCATAATGGGTGAGTTGCATGGACTAGGGACTGCCAGAGAAGGGAGGGGTACAGGGTGGAGTTCTCAGGGTGGTGGGGGTTGGGGGACAAAGTAGGCGGGAATATAAGGATTGAGGGAAGGATGGGCCTCCTGCCCTGAACTTGAACTTGGAGCTGGTGGGGTCAGAGAAGGGAGGAAAGGGTCAAGCACTCAGCGCAGCTGGAAAAGGGGAATAAAATCCAGTTGAGTGACATCAATATCTCCCAGCTTAAAGGCAGATGGGGGACAAGGGACAGAGTGCTATTTAGCAAGCTCTGTTCCAAGACAATCCCAGCATATATACACTGATGCTCGTTTTACCGTCATTCAGTGTTTGCTGGTTTTGTAAAACACAGGCAAGAATGATCGCCTGAGATATGCCACAATCACTCTTTGGATCCTGATGCACAGACTTAGGAACGTGACCCCACAAAGGTTTGGGGGGAGAGAAAAAAAAGCAACAACAACTTCGACACTCTGGACTGATTTGCACTGGTTAGGAAAGATTTAAAGAGATACAAGACATGGAAGGTGAAACTTTAAAAGGGGAGTTGAAGAGTGCAATTTTGCAACAGTTTTAAGTCGAAGCGCTGATCTACAACACAGAAAACACAATAAGTCAAACCTTGCTGACCATCTTACCTTGGTCTGGAGATAGTGGGGGTAGTAGTAGGTGTAGTGGGGGTACATTGGCTGCTGTTCCAAACGTTTTCCCATGTAGCTGGAATCCAGTTGAAGGTCCTGGAGGCTGATCACTTCCGAGGGGATGGCCTGAATTCTTTAAATGACTGCTTCCAAGAGTGGGGGATGAAGAGAGAACGCTCTCCTCTCACTGGTGAAGGTGATACACGCGCAGAAGGAGGAATGGATAGAAGAACAGATAGTGCTTGAGATTTTAGTCCGTCTACTTGTCTGAGAGCTCAAAGGGAATCTCACAGAACCATTCCTTGCGTGGGTCTGGAAAGAGATTCCGGAGTGGCAGCAGAAAGAGGTTTGGGGAGAAGGAGGTGTGGAGTGAGGAAAGGAAGATATGAAAGGATAGCAGAAATACAGGAAACAATAGAGGGAATTGAAAAGCCTGACTGAGAGGGGGGGAAAGCAGAGGGAAGAAGAAGAGGATGATAAGGAGGAGGGATGAACGGCTGGGTTTCGGTTGCCGGTTCCCTGCACACTCCGCTCTAAAAATTAGACTCACTCTTCTTCTGTGCTGCCCTGAACATGCCCCTCAATTTGCTTTCCAGTGTCTTTCTCTTGTCTCTCTCCAGCTCTCTCTCTCTTCCTGTGTATGCGTTTCCCTGTCTCGTTCTTCCTCCCCCTCTCTTGTGTACCAGACGAGACCCTGATCCCTCTGGGAGCTCGGCTGTATCCTGGAGAACACACGCTGTCCTCTTCTCTATCCTTAAAAGACAGTGAAATCAGCGATGAACTCACACATGGATGTGGAGCTGGGGAGAAAAGAGGAGGAGGAGGAAGAGGAGGAGGAGGCGGAGGAGGAGAGAGGGTGGTCTAGAGCTGAAGCTGTGACTGCCTTATTTTTCCTCACTCCCTCCCTCTTTTGTTAAGCTCCGGGGATAGATAGGTAGATACTGCTGAAGCCCGGCGTGGAGGATGAGCAAAAAGAAAAAGCCGTGGTGAAAACTCCTCTAGCTGAGGAAGAAGCAGATGGCGTTATCCAGACGTGCACTCACACAGAGGAAAATCCCTTCTGATCCACAAGGTGCCCCCTCCAACTCTCTTCTCTTCCCCTCTCTTTCTTCTCAAGCTCACTCCCTGACGGCTTGCTTCCCACTGCGCCTGGCAGCCGTCACTGTGTGTGTGGTGGAAGTGGTGGCGGCAACAGCGGTGGTGGAGGTGGTGGTGTGTGCGTGCGTGCGGTATGTGTGTGACTGTGCATGTAACTGAGAGGGGAGTGTGTTTGTGTGGCTGTTGGCGTCTGCTCTACTGTGCGTGCTGAGGCATAGAGGGGCTCGGCTCAGCGCAGCTATGCTCCTCCCTCGCTCTCTCTCTTCCTCTCGCTGTCTGGCTCTCTCGCCCTCTGTGTTTATGATGGAACTATAGAACAGTGGGAGTGGCTGGTCCTGCCCTCTTCCAAGCCCTTGTGAGTGTGTTTGTGCTAAATAGAATATGAAAAAAAGAAAGACCAGCTTGAAAGGTGGAGGTGGGTGGCGGTGTGAGCTGGGGTGAAGAGTGCAAAGAGGATACATAAGGAATATTATTTGGAAAACAGAGAGGACCCCCTGCTGGCACCCTACAGGCGCAGCAACAATTGAGCAGCAAAATGGTCATTTTTCACTACATGTACGTGATTAATTAATGCCATCCTGGTTTAAACAGACTGTTGAGATTATCTAATATAACCAGCAGATTTAAATTAATACATAAAAGCTTATAAGCTTAAAACAGTCCCTTCCAAACTGCACAGGATGCCTTGCTGCACACAGCAATGCTACTTTCACACATGTCAGCAAAAGGGCCCGACATGGAGAGTGTATGTAGTTCAGTGGTTGTATGGCACAGTGACCCACTGACACAGTGCTGCCTGTTATGTGATGTAACCAGGTTTAAGTAGTGCTCTTACATAAGCAAAGTGAGCCATGCATGAAAAGGCTGCTCTGCCCTCTGACTACAGCTCTCTGTGAGAAAGAAAGATACAAGGGTTGGCAGACAATGTACTGCAGTGGAAAGAGGGGCACAAGAACAGAAAGCATACATAAAAACTGTTAGATAAGAGCTTCATTTCTTGTGGGCAATTAAACTACTTTACAGCCTGTGATGCAAAAACACATTAATATTGTGGGCTCCTCTAAGAGCCATTTGTCACTATGCCTACATCAATTCTTTCATACCACTCTCCACAGGTTTGAGTGAGTCGTGCAAGTTATAAGCAAGTCGGGCTAATCTGGTAAGTAGAGAAGTCATTGCTCTGGTCAGTTAACTCAAATAACATTCGGCCGGTCTACCTTAGTTTACACTCACAGTAGTCATAAAAAAAAGACTGAGTTTTGCGCTTAAATTCTAATATAGCTTTATTCTTTGAACATCTTTTGAAGACGAAACCGTTTTCCTTTATAACAGCTTCTGACCATATAAGGTTTTCATTATGGCAGCAATACTGGTCAGGACAAACCAGTTAAGCAAAACTGGATAACCAAAATTATATTTTTCACCTTAAATATATACTGTAGCATCTCCCTCTCTGGTTTAAAGGGAAACTTCAAGTACTTTACTAAAACTGACTGTTGAACTATTCCCATTGTGAGTATTTTTTTGGCAGTAGTGGTAAAAACAGAAACCCTTGTCTCTACTACTACTAACATAATGTTTGAGAAACATGGCTCTCGACCAAAGTGAAATGGTCCTTGAAATTACTGAATAAATATTATTGACCAAACCAATCCCTGTTTCGTTGTTTTCTCCATAGTTCACAAAAGTGGAAAACCCAAGAGGAGAAAATGATGTTTATGCTCCTGCTTTTCTTCACCTTAAGGATACCCGCAGCCTTAGATACTCAATATTTACAAGTAGAATGGGTGGTAGAGCCTTCAGATTTCAGGCCTCTCTTCTGTGGAACCAGCTCCCAGTTTGGATTTGGGAGACAGACACCATCTCTACTTTTAAGTATCTTGAGGTAACTGGTTGATATGTGGTGCTGTAAGTCACCCTGAAACAAACTGTTGTGTTGGGCATGTTTAACGTTGAACGTTGCATTCATGCGGTTTTCCCCTGCAACAGACTGGTGATAGAGTGGCTAAAGGCTGGTGTACCATGCTTCTTGCCTAAATAAGGACATGCTACAAAAAGAAATGGACAAACAAGGACTGTTTTTTCTATGCCTAACATTCAGACACACTCATTGTTCGTATGCATCAGGAGTAACTGAGTTCAGCATCTTGCTCTAGGATACTTCGACATGCAGAGTAAAGATGCCAAGAATCTACCCACCGCCCTTAGCAGCAGACCTGCAACATGTATGTACAGACATCTTCAGAGGATGAACATAAACACTGCTCCATATATAAGAGATGGGTAAAAAAAATTCTATACCACTGATAACGATGATCTTTACAGCCTTTTGTGGACCAAGCACACTCAGGTCAGAGTTTATGCACTTCTGAACCCGGAGAACTTTTTATAGTTCTGACTTTTGGATGAACTATTCTCTTGTGTCCCGTGTCCAAAATGCAGGAATTGGAGACCACTGTAGTGTTAGAACTCAGTTTTTGTCCTCTTTTAGCTCTTACTACAGAGAAGGTACAAAATATGAGTTCTTACTGACATAGGCGTACTGTAATTGGTACAGATTTAAGTGTAGGGTGACTGGTTGAACACTCCGATGCAGCTCCAGCAGCCACTGCCAACATATTACCCATGTTAACAAAAGCTCTTAACACAGTCCTTAAAAGTGGAAGAAAAACACAACAAATTTAATGTCCAAGGTTTGTGGAGTGTGTATACAATAAATGAAATGAAGGGCAACTTTGACCCAGTATGAAATATTCTAAATCTTCACTACCAATTCCACTGAACTCCCCTATAGTCATCCACTACACAGGGAAGCAATGTAGAAAGAAAACAGAGGATGAAACTGGATAACGAGGAAATAAAAGAAGAGGTTATGCTGCATCACCAACTGCTGGCCAGCTATAACATCCAATTTCTCTCAGCAACGCAAAAACAAACATTAAAAAGGTTTGTTGTTTCCAGGGAATTTCCCCAGTGGGTATTTACCACCAGGTAGTCCTCAGAACTGCTTGGTCAAATAAAGCTCTTATTAGGATCTAACTGGGTTTTCAAGAGTTAATTGAGGAAAATCTTATGGGGTCTTATCTTAGCACTGATTTGTGAATGCAGGTCTGAGTCTGCAACACAGTTTAACCTTTCATCGTGCCTGTAGGCAAGCCTGAATTCAGCACTGTAAATCACTTTCATCTGCCTTGTTAACCATTTGACAAATTGAGCTTGTTTATTCTGCTTCTGAAACAAATGTGTCATCAGGAGTGCATACATTTATTTCAATACAATAAGAGTGTTAGGTAAGCAAAATAACTTGATCTTTACAATTGTGTTTTTGTGCAAATGTAGGTGGTGTTTAAGAATTGTTTTTGCATGGTTTAGTCTTCACATTTGCTTATATACTGTTAACCACTTAGTTTTAGACTATATTTATTCTAAAGAACCTGTGATTATTCATTACAGTAAATTATTACTAACCATAGAATCAAATTCTTTTCAACCCAAAGTAATCCTGGAAGGTAGCGAGTCATCAGATAAATGGCTGCTCATCTTACAGTGTGTATGATGTACTTGAAATGGGAGACAAGTGACTCAGATTGAAGTCATTAGCCGACAAGCAATTAAGCACAAGTACAAACCATCAAGACTTCTATTTTGCATGAAGAAAACAGGTTCCTGCTTTGACACATACTCTTCAATTAAAAAGAAAAAAAGTTAAGTTAAAATATGATACCACATATTTTTATAACCATATATTTCTATGAGGCTTAGAAACAATATTCCTCTGAGCTGAAGGCTAACATTGACATTCCTCTACTGTTATAGCATGCTAGCACCTGTTAATGTTAGGCTCAAAAAGTCAATTTTACTATAGTTGCTTTAAACTTTAACAGTGCTGGACTTTGCTACATTACATTTGTAACATTAACCATGGCAACAATTCTGGCAACCAGGACATCAAATTATCCAAGCTAAAGCAGCATCACCAACTCTCACACTTGTTTTTTCCTCACACTCAAAGGAAGAGGCCTCAAAGTCTTTTTTAATGTGTGAATGGCAACTTTCATATTTTAATAACACCACTTGTCCATAAACAACAAGGCATCAGAGACAGTTTAAACACTTAAACTTTCCGAAGGATAATAAAGAAGCTCTAGATGATTCATGCAATCCAGGTTTAACAAAATGTTAATGAGGCTTGAAGGGTAGTTTATTGCTGTGTGTGTAGGAGTCTCTAGACATGATCCATTTAAACATCCCTAAATCGAGAGACTTTCATACATTTCTGCTCCAAAATCAACTATCAGGAGCAAACAGTAACTCCTGAACACTTTTTTATACCAGACAGGTGAGTCTGTAGTATAAAAAAAGCATTTGCATTAATGATTATTGTATCATTATAATGTGCCTGATCTGTTTTAGTGTAATCATAAAAAAAAGAAAATTGCAACAGGTATTCAACAATTTCACAAGTTTAGGAAACTAAACTGGCTCAACAGTTTTATTAAAAGGAAAGCTGATTTGAGCAGCTAATTTTGGGTACTTTTCACAGAATTCTATTCCAGGATCATGTCCAATCTTGAACCATTTCAAATGATCAAATCAGTATTTTTTATTATGTTGGGGAAATAAAACACAAGCGATTTATGAGAAACTGCCAGCGGCAGAAATTATATAAGTATACCTTTAAAGAGCATCCATTCCCTGTCAGACTCTCACACACAGTGTTTGATCGAGTAAGGTTGCACATTCATTCAACACCATGTGCAGAATGCCAAAAAACAATGCATACAAGGAGCCAAGGGATGTGTATGTGTGTACTATCAGTAGCATACCAACCGAATGTTTCATGAATTCTTAAGATTCTGCTGACACTGAAGTTTACGAAAGAGAGGGAATTGATTCCTCCACAACTGCATAGTTCTATTATGAGCAGCACAATCTTCACATCTCACTCCATACGCTGCCAGAATAAAGCTTCCTAATTACCTTATCCAGTGACAGGACAGCCTTAATTACTATAGCAAGTTCACGCCAGTTAATTGTCTTAATTTTAATATCAAACAGACTTATAAGCACAATCTAATTCTCAGCCAGTTTCTACAGACTGAATGTGTCCCTGCTGCATCT